ACAACATGATCTGGGGAACCCGGATGTAGTTTCCCTCAGGGAGGGCCTAGGTACAAGTGACAGGCCAACAGCACAGTTGTGTTGTTGTTGTTGTTAGTTATGCATACTTGTACCTTGTCAGCTACTTGTGGTGAAGTTTTGTCTTGCTTCCTTTTTTTCTTCTTTTCTTCTTTTTTTCTCGAGGCATCTTCAAGATTTTCTTTTTCCCATTCACCCAGGGATTTTAGGGCTTTTGACCGATCTCTTGTGTCAAGAACAGTATTTTTCAAATTGAAAAGATATTGTACTAATCAAATTTAGTCCATCTATTAAAGCATTTGATGGTCCTTTTCTAGGTCAATTGCTGTTGGACTGATTACGGGATGTCAATTTGTCTTGTTTGTTCAGCAGAATGTATTATGATACAATGGAAAACACCCCATTAATGACTACCTCATTATTATGACCACAGTTTGGCACCCCCAATGAATTGAAAGTCCAGATATTTCCTCATTGTGCTTATTAATCTCATCCCCCAATTACTACAACTTAAAAAAATTCAATGACCCAGTGTTGCTGGTCATACAGTATGAATGTGTTCAACTGTAGTTTAAAAGAGTGTCATCTCCAAGGGTCCTCCTTCCCCTTCCTCCCCAAATAAGGTATGCAGTTGAGATCAGGGCAGAACATTTCATTGATGAATTGTTAAATGACTAAACAGAATAGGAAAAAGAAACTGTTTTATTCACTTTACAATGGCAGACAAAAAAGTGGCTTCTAACAGTTAACAGTCCTCTAACTTTGATGGATCAGCACTTACACTACCAAGGCAACAGTATAACCTGTCAAAACTTTTGGTTGAAATACCAATTTTAGCTCAATAATGACCTTGGTAACCCCAGTTGTTTTAGTTATCCAATAGTGGTCAGCCTATCACAAGACAACTTCCTGCAAAGTTAAATAAAATCTGTGAAAGGACAAGACACTTTGGACCCACCTTAACTTTCTTCAAATTTATGGTGGCCCTGAACTCCCTCCACACTTGGTAGGAAGTTGTATTTTGATAGGCTGATCATTACTGGATAATAAGAAATAGAGGCTACCTAACTCATTGTTGAAGTAAAATTGGCATGTATACCCAAAATTTCAGGTGTTTTTGACAGGTTAATTACCATTGCTATGGTAACTTGTTACGCCGAGAAAGATTAAAATTTGTTCACCAGTGATTAAACTGTTCTTTGATACCAATATTGCCACCAACTGAGTTGCAGTAATGATTCATTAAAGCAAAAGTGCTGTAAACTTTTGAAAGCCACTTTAAAGTTCATCCAGCTCTCCAGGAAGCAGCCAATCAGGATAAATGCACCTCTCAAACATTCGGTCTAGGTCAGCGGAGAATGTGACCTGGCTATTCTTAGCCATCAACTCCACCCACTTAGGAGGAGGACCCCAAATGGGAGTAAACATAAAACACCGTAGCTCAGATTAGCCTGTAAAATGGCCTTTGAACACTTAACAGAAAGATGGGAGCAGTTCTCAACATCAATGTGCACATATGAGTTGTTACTGCAAAATATTTCACAGATCTGTTCCATGGTAAACTGCTTACACAATGCCATAACTACTTTCTTTGGACGTTGCAAGCTCTTAAGTGCCTGCACCGCTGTTTCAGCATCGACATTGCAGCAATACTCGATGTTAAGAATTTCTAAATTGGGCATCTTAAATAAAAACGTTAAATTCATGATTGAGCGATTGTAACTAATATCCAGCTCCCTCAATTGAGTGCAGCAGCATAAACCATCTTCGATGTATTGCTCTGGAACTTCCATTTTCAGTTGCCCGACGTAGCTGACAAATGATAAGCTTCGAAAATCATGCGCGTGAAGAAAAGTGTCGTCAAAGTGTGACTTGTTGTAGAAAACATCAAAACGAAAGTGTCTTCAAAGAGCAGGGCAGTGGCAAATGTTTCTAAACCTTCGGCATACCGGTGAGACAGTCCTTAAGAGATCAGGCAACTGGATATATCCACAGATCTTTAATAATACCTCCTCAGGTAAATCGTACAGTCGCACTCCTATAAGAAATACATATCCAGAAGAACATTTACCACCAAGAGTTATAGTCGTGACACGTGATGAGAGCAAAATTCAGAACGTGACACCTGAAAATTGAAACGACTAAATTTCCGTTTAAAGAAAACAAGACACGTGTATTTTGTCAGAATTGGAGAGTGAAACGGGATTACGGTCACCCTTTGCTAGCGATAGAAACGACACAAAAAGCGCCGCCGGATAACATTACAGAGTCGGATCACGGTAAGGCAATTTTAATTGCATTGAATATTAATTTCTTTGATGCAAGAGAGCGAAAGATTATAAATTTTAAACTCGTTCGTCGAATAAAAAAAGTGGTTAAAATCACTTTTCGCGAACGCGGGACAAAGCGAGTGCAACTTGACGGTAGCCGGAGAGCGTGACGAAGGAAGCGCGCCAAAATAAACGTCGCTGATTGGTTCGACTTGACAGATGAGCGGGAGTCTCTCTGGCGCCGGCGGTAAATGCTCATTCATTTTCATTCATTCTGTTTATGTTGTCATTTCAATGACAGAAAAATTTGTTTTTTTCGTACACTTGAAGAAAATTCTTCAATTAGACGTTGTCACTCGTAATTACGTCCTGAAACACGGGATTGCTTGGAATTGCAACCATGAAATACACCGCAGGAAGCTCCAATTCCACGTAGTTGTGTACGCTCTTGTTCAGACAGCGTAAATCTTAGATCGCGGCAATTTAGCGACATTAGCTGGGGAGATGCCCTTGAATTGCAAGTGTCAACTTGTGATTTCTAGTCGAGGACACCGGAAATGCAGTAAGTAAGGTAACAGTAGGAATATCAAGGTGTGTTTCAATCAAATATTTTCAAAAATGGTTGCGTTAAACCTGGCCGTTATCATGACGTTAAAAACATTTTTGTGAATATTTGTCTAAAATTTTCATAGCCAAAATTCGACTTAAAAGCCATTTAAAACCCTTTTGTTTATACACTGTCTAAATCTTATTGATAGGTAAAATAAATTATCTGAAGGTAAAGTTAATACACTCACCACTTAAAACGGCAATTCTTGCATTTTCGTGTTTGCCATTAAAATTAACGACAACTTCCGCTCCTTCTTGGAGGGGTCCACTTTTGATGTGTTTATTCTGGACGAGGGCTGTCTTTTTTTCGTTGACAAACTTCACCCCCACAAATACAGGAAGTTTCTGAGCTATTAACATCACGAGATAAGATTCGTTAAACAAACATTGATGCACGAACGTCTCTATGTATGTTCCCAAGTCTTACGCTTACAATTCTTTGGCACAATGAACTTAAACTAGACTCGAATTAAACACCAGTAAACGAAAAAGTACAAACAGTAAATAAAACAAAACAATAATAAGTCTTACTTACCCAGTGCAACAGTTCTTTCCGTCATGTCCGAATTCGAGATTTCGTCGTTTAAAAACGGCTGAACGGAGACGATACTACTGCAAAAAGGCAATTACTAATTGAGCTTGCTGTTATATATGTACATGTATTGATGACCGGAACGCGTTCCATCTACTGGTTGCGAGAACGCGTTCTCAATGGAACGCGAGAACGCGTTCTCATTAGAACGCGTTCTTGTTCAGAACGCGTTCTTGTTCAGAACGCGCTCCAGCTCGCGAGAAATTTTGGCGTTCCTTTGGCGTTCCTTTGTTCCATTTGCGTTCCAATAACGCGTTCCCTGTTACTTCTGTCCGGTACTGTAGGCACAGGAGAGGCATTCAGGTATATTGTCATTCACCCTGTAAAACACGACTTTGAAGCAAAGAATCCAGGAGCCCTGTTCGTAGCACTGTCAAGAGCAAAATCAGCAGGTGGAGAAGGCATGGATCCTG